ATATCTGCCTGTTTCACTCACATATTGTAAGGAGCTCTGGTAGTGTAGTGATTACAAATCAGGCTGTGAACCTCAAGGTCAGTAGTTCGAAACTACCAGCTGTTTTTTGGGAGAAAGATGAGACTTTATGCTCCCGTAAAGATTTACAGCCTCCTCAAAAACCCTGTACAGGGTCACTAAGAGTTGGAACCGACTCCATGGCACATAACAACAACAACAACAATCTTAAGTTCACTATGTCCAAAATTCTGTTTAACCTTATAATCTATTCCTCCTGGGTGCCATTCTATTAATAGTACTGCCATCTTGTGTCTTCTTATTCAAATCTGAGCTGTGACTCCAGTGACAAAGTCCTGTCGATATTTCCTTCTTTCCCTTGATTATGTGTTCTCTTCTTCATTGTGACACCTTACCCTTCTGACTCTGTGTTGATCACTGGACTGCAAGGTCAGCTGTTCAAACTCACCAACTGCTCTTTGGAAACCCTTTACAGGGTTGCTATGAGTCAGAACCTACTCAACGGCACTTAACAACAACAAATCCACATTAAAAACAAGGATTGCCATTTTAAAGACTCAGTTTACTTATGTAATACCCTTGTTTAATTTAAACCTCATAAACTTCCCATCACCTTCAGACGAAAAGTCAAAATCCTTGGGATGGCTTTCCAGGATCCTACATGTCTAATTTAGTAAACTTATATTTCTGATCCTATAGTGCCACACCAAGGAGCTCTGGTACCTTAGTGGTTATGAATCACGCTGGGAACCGCAAGGTCAACAGTTTGAAACTGCCAGCTGTTCCGTGGGAGGAAGATGAGGCTTTCTGCTCCCGTAAACATATACAGTCTCGGAAACCTTGTACTGGGTCGCTATGAGTTGGAACCAACTCCACAGCACATAACAACAACAACAACAGTGCCACACCAGGAGCTGTGGGCTTAACACAAAGACTCAGAAATCTTATATAGGCTTGCCATGAGTCAGAAATGACTTGATGGAAGTGATTTTGGTTTTCTTTTTGAGTGTAGTGCTATAAGATCAGCACTTAACTGTGAACCACAAGGTCAGCAGTTCAAACCCACTAGCTGCTCCTTAGAAACCCTATATAGGGTCACTATGAGTTAGACCCTGCTCTACAGCACTTAACAAGAGCAACAACAATGATAGGCACTGGGCTGTGAATCAAAACATCCACAGTTCAAGCCCACCAGTTGCTCCAAGGGGGAAAGATGAGGCTTTCTGCTCCTGAGAAAATTTGAGGCCACAGAAACCATATATAGAGTCTCTATGAGTTGGAACTGCCTCAACAGCACTTAATAGCAATAAAAACAACATATCTGTACAGAGATAGATAGCCTCATCTTTCTCCAGTGGAACAATTGTAAGTTTGGATGGCTGACCATGCAGTTAGCAGCCCAGGGTTTTTCCTTATAGCACTGCTAGAACTTTAGGTCTACATAAATCAATACATTCCCCTGGCCATAGAAATCCTTTATAAGTCAAGACAGTAGAACAAAAGAGGAGGACTGTTAACACTTTGAGAGGAAAATTTTCTTCTTCTTAGAAGAGAGCCACTAGAAGGGACACCCTCTTATTCTCTAGTTTCCTAGTCAGATGTCTAAACTGAAACTGTTATAAAGCATTTTAAACCCATGAGGGAAAACAGCCTAAGCATGAAGTCAAACATGGAGGAGGTCATAGCTGAACGTTATCTCAGAGAAATTGAGCAAGAATCCATGTTGCTTCTGAACTTCCTCATATATGGTTTAAATCTTTTGGGATCAGTTTTCCTGGTATGTGAAGAGCCAAACCTCCAAACAAATATGTTTTTTAAAAGTTCAAGGGAAAGTGAGTGGAGGCACATCAGGTGCGTCAAACATAAATGGTACCGTGGAATGCATATAAAGTGACTTACCACAGTTTTTTAAAAAAAGGGCTTTGGAGTCAAATCCAACTTTTGGTGACCCCATGTGAGTCAGAATATACCTGTGCTTCTCAGGGCTTTAAATGGCTGATATATCTCCAGTAAATCACCAGGTCTTTCTTGCGAGGCATCTCTGAGTGTGCTTGTACCTCCAACCTTTTGATTAGCTACTGAGTGCATTTACTATTTGCACCACCTAGGAACTTCACCATCCAGACGTCCCTCTCATTGTTTTGACTTTGCTTTTACCCCATGGCTAGCCTTGCTACCGGGGGGCATGGTGGCTTCATCATATGGTAAGCACTGGACTGCAAATCACAAGGTCTGAGGTTCAAGCCTACCAGTGCTCTATGAGAAAAAGGAGATTCTGTTCTCTCGAAGATTTAAAGCCTGGTGGTGGTGGTTATGTGCCAGTTTCGACTCATAGCAACTCTGCATAGGGCTTCTGAGGCTATATTACAGGAGTAGAAAGCCTCATCTTTCTCTTGCAGAACCACTGGTACTTTCAAACTGCTTACCTTGAGGTTAGCAGTCTGACTCATAACCACTACACTACCAGAGCTTCTTATTTATTGCCTCAGAAACATATATGAGTGGGAACTGACTCCACAGCACTCTAACAGGCATGCCACCACTGGACATATGTGCTTATGCCTAGGCAAAATATGTTTTGTATTTGTCAGGATATTACTTCCAAATCTGATTATGACATGTGGTGTTGAAGAACAAATATTACAAAACTTCAATGTATAAATTGTTCTTAACATAAATGTTAATGCTAAATTAAAGTTGATGTATAAACATTGAACAGGAATGCATTGAAATGCAGGGTGTTTTGATGAGGGAAAAACAAAAATGCTGATTTTTCTTGCTTTTTTTTTTCCTGAAAGGGGAGGGTCAGACCCCAAAATAAATGAAAGCATTTCTGGTTTTCATACAAAATCCTTAAATACTTTACTGGGAGGTTTTTTTTTTTTTTTACATATAATTATTTTGAAGTTAACATTTTAAGATTTCATATATAATTGTAAGGAGAAATGTTAAACAATAGTTAAGAGTTTTGGTACAATAAAATGTTTAAAGCAAAACCCACAAATTTAACATCATTCCATGTGTTCTTCTGTGACCCAAATCTCCCCTACCTCTAAAAAAGAGAAAAATGTCCAACATCTTTGAATTCTCTAGTCTCTTTTTGTTGTCAGGGAGGGTCCTTGGAAGTTGTAGAGCACAAAGAAGTTCTTTATTATGAAAGGAAATGCCTGGAAATAAGAGTTAATGCTTAAATGAAGGACTTAAAGACCCTAATGTTTAAGAATGTGGATCAATCTTGGCTCCACAGCGCCTTGATTGTTGCTATAACTTTAGATGTGAGGGAGGCAAATCAGAAGGCAACTGCTGTTCTTAAGCTTTTATAGTACTTGCTCTTCAAATGTGTGCTCTTGTCTTTTTTGTCTTCCTTATCTAGAGGTGATCAGTTTATTTCCTGGTGAAAGAATACCTGTTGTAGTTTCACCTCCTTCTGAATCCATGTTCAGTTTTATTAGAATACACTGCACAAAGATCGCAACACAGGATGCAACAGGTCCTAATTTTGCACACATGGTTTCAGTTTGTCGGATTAAATCTGATGGTAACTCTTCACCGCATTAGATGCTGGCTCCTCGTGTAGTCAGTTCATGTTAAAATTGTGTTCTCTCTTGGGGAATGGATAATTTTGATTCGTCCCACTGTGTCTTTAGTGGCTAGTTGCTAAGCCTCAAATGAAGATATTATTTCAGAGAAGTCTGAATCTGGTCATTTATTTTATAAGAACATGCCAAGAAGACTCCCAAGCATATGGTTATTTCATGATACAGTGTGTAGGCAAAACTGAATTGTCAGAATAAATGTGTAAAAAAAAAAAAAAGGACCAGTATAAGAATGCAAAAAAAGGTATTGCCAAACATTTCTTTCTTTCTTTCTTAATTGTGGATTTAAATGTTTTGGTTTTATTTTTTTTTTCCTTGTCTTTGTAATAAGAATAATAATGACCTTTTATTTTCTTCATACATTTCTCTTAAAAAGTCTAACTTTGGAAAACTAAAAGCTCAGGTTTACTTTGACTTTTCAGTAATTATCTATGTTTTTAATCATTTTTAGTGGTCTTTACTATGTTCCTTAAAAAAAAAATCAAAAAAATCAGTGTAACCTACTTCTAGGCATAGGTGGCTTATTTTCTCTCATAATGACTCGTTTCCTTTAAAATGTATTAGCAATTAGCTCCCAGTATACCTAATCTCATCTTTGTTTGACTTTCTACCGCTCTCTGCTTATTGAACTAGAAGAGTTCATTAAAGCTTAAACAAATGGCCATGTTCTATGCTGTAGGGAAATTTTAAAAGAAAGTAGACCTTTCATTAATGTGAAAGGGAATAGCGTATTCCCAGTGTTCAGTAGGCTGAATGGATAAGTACTGGGAGGTACAATAGGAAAACTGGACACTTCCCAAAGCCTCCCAGGTTTTCTCTTTGCCATGTTTCTGTATTATTTTAAATTGAAGTCAATTCCCAGAACATGTAATATACCCACAATCAAATAAAAGTACAATAACATATCTCAAAGCCAAATAGAAAAACATATGTATAATTTGCCACCCGCCATTGGTTCAAATAATTAGTAGGAGAATTACCTATAAATCTTTAAATGTAATTATTCCATATTTTAAAAAGTAATTCATGACTGTGTGTAGTTTTTTTTATTAGAGATTCCAGTAGGCTAATTCCCTAGCTTATGTAGAATGGAAACGAAAACATTTAAATCTTTTCTGATTTCCAATTTAAATTACTTAAAAAAAAAGGATATAGAGTTTTGCTTTAGTTGGCCTTGTTTTACTATCATGGGAGTTTACTTTCATCTCAGTTCCCATCGATATGTGTGAGAAATTCTTTAGGGCCTGAAACAAGAGTATCTTCAGGGTTATATGATCTGACCTAATCAACCATGAGTGTTCTCAGGCTCTTAAAAAAAAAAAAAATCCCTTTTAAAAGCTGTTTAATGAAGGCCTTTCTCAATCATCTTCTTCTTTCCTTGATTAGACATCGATGAGTGCAGCATCATTCCTGGGATATGTGAAACTGGTGAATGTTCCAACACCGTGGGAAGCTATTTTTGCATTTGCCCACGTGGATATGTAACCTCAACAGATGGCTCTCGGTGCATTGGTAAGCATCATATTTTAAAAGCACAATACACTGCTTCTTTATAATGACAGAACAGCCCAAACAGGTATGAAGATGGCAACAATTATAAAGCCATTGGGGGAATGACTGAAAGAATTGTTTCAAATAAATGGTACCATGATTGAGGGATTGATAGACCAGGTGCTCTTTAAAAGAAAGACTTCAGTTTCAGGAGTCATCTGGGTTTGTTTTCTGTTGTCAAAGCCATGTTAGAAATGAAGAAAGACTTCCTCAAGACATTACATTAGAGACACAAAGACATGAGAAAGACTTTTTAAAGCTACTTTGGGTAACACACTGTAATAATTAAAGATTCTTTTTTGTTGTGAATCATGAATGCAAGTCAATATTTTATTTACTTGCAGATTGTTTATTGTAGCTAAAATAGTTTTGCAAAAAGAATGTGGCACCTTTCATTGTGTGTTTTGAGCATACTCAAATTAAAGCCAAATATATTTTTATGTTCTCCTGTGTTTGTTTATAAAGATGAAACAAAACTTTTTGGTTATGGTACAGCAATTCCATTTTTGGGCAAGCCTTTGACTTCTCTTTTATGAGCACAAAGATTACAAAATGTCCTTTCGTGCATATTTGTGGCATAGTGAGCTACCATTTAAATGATGCTTGAGGCTTGTCATTTCTGGTTTCAAACTGAAAATAGCTAAAAGAGAAGGAGAAAGATGCACATGTCCTTAGGAGCCCTAAAGACTCATGTGCTGCAGGAATCAGGGAAATTACATTAACACCTAAAAAGTACAATTGTTTGGTCTATTAAAGGGCAACAGTCTGCACAATGACAATCTCCCACTTCTTTCAGGACAATGTGTCAATCCATTGATGGCGCCCAAGTGAACTGACAATAAGCTTAGAAAGAAGTCTTCTTGCAGTTGTTGGTTGCCGTGAAATTAGCACTGACTCATGGTGACCACATGTCCTTATACAAGGGAGCTTCAAAAAGTTTGTGGGGAAATTCTGTTCCTTTTTAATTCCATATTAGCATAACAGACCAAAACATTGCCCATTCCTTTATCATTTTTACTATCGTTGATATGTTTGAATCCAGTAACAGCTACTGTGTGTGTATTCTGATTGCATTCAAACTGTGATTGCTTGTCTTCTAGCCCTATATAACCTGTTGTGATCCATAGGCTGGAGGTCCTAGACTACCAAGAAACGACCTGTAACCTGAATTCATTTGATAACATGTACTGTTACGCCACACTGTGGTAGCTATGGACTCCAGGTGTGGTGCTGTAGGATCAGCACTGGACTGCAGACCACAAGATCAGCTATTCAAACCCACTAGCTGCTGCTCAGAAACCCTATACAGGATCACTATGAGTCTGAATTGACTCGATGGCCCTTAATAATAAATGTTAGCTATGACCATCCAGTAGTAAGCATGGAAATGTAGCTGCTTCATTCAGAATACTGTATTGTCATCAGAAACAATATAGAAGAGCAGTAGTTGTAGAAGACATGTAAGAAACAGTAATTGTTACAGTAAGAATAACAGCTATTATTTATGAAATGCATATTATGTATAAGGCACCTCATTGTGTTTTGCAGCCTCAGACATACCTCTAACCTCTCTATTCTTTAATTTCTTCAAATAAATGTTCAGTAAAATATTCTTATTATTGTCCTGAGTAGTAGGAGTTTTTAGATGAAAATAGCAGAGTATGACATGCCGTAGGTATCCCTGGGTAGTGCGAACTATATACAAGCTCAACTACTGGCTGAAAGGTTGCAGGTTTGAACCCACCAGAGGTGCCTTGGAAGACAGCCTAGCAATCTGTTTCCAAAAGGTCACAAACTAGAAAATCCTATGGAATACTTCCACTCTGTCTGCGTGGGGTTGCCGTGAGTCAGGATGAACTTGACATCAACTGTTAACAGCGTCATGATACGCCAGGCATTGATTTAATGTATTAATACATATAATACCATAGTTCTCTGTGAATGATGTAATTATTCCATACTTACAGATGAAGGAATTGAGGTTTAGAGGAATTAAGTGCTTTGCACCATGTTACACAGCCAATAAAAGGAACCAGGTTCATACCTAAGCCTCTCTGTATATGCTGTGGCTATGCTACTGTGGCAATTCACTGCTTACCTATCTGCCTGCCTGGCCTGTGTGGTTCCTTCTCCACCACATTTACAGCCTGCTTTGAGAATAGAATATTCATTTGGAGCTTTGTTTTCCTGTCTTTGAATGAAAATGATATGTTCTTTATAGGAGAGTTGAATTTCCATCTTGCATTAAGTTTATCCCTTTTACTGAAATGTTGTTGTTGTTAAGTGCTGTCAATTCAGTTCTGACTCATAGTGACTCTGTATAGGGTTTCCTAGGAGTGATGGGTGAGCTTGAACCACCAACTTTACAGTTCAAACCGACCTTTCAGTCCAGTGCATTAACCCACAGCACTGCACCAGGACTCCTATATTAGGAGAAATATGATATTTTTATATTAGGTGAAATATTCCTATATTAGGTGAAATTCCTATATTAGATGAACTATAGTTGTTGTCGAGTGCTGTTGAGTCAATTCTGACCCATAGCGACCCTGTATAGGGTTTCCAAGGAGCAGCTGGTGAGTTTGAACTGCCGACCTTGCAGTTCAAATGGCTTTTCAGTCTGGCATATTAACCCACAGCACCACACCAGAACTCCTATTAGGGCTGTACAAATGAACAACTTTACTATTCATGGGGTCAGTGTTGACTATTGACTGATTCCATGGTGAGTCTGATGCGTTCAATTTAATTTGGCAACCTGATGACTAAAGAATTGAAAAACAGTGGAACTACCTATACTTCATTTGATCTCCTTAAACTGTATAGGAAAATAATTTATGCAGGCACACAACAGCATCAATATGGAACATGCACAGACTTAGCTCTTTTGAGCTCATATTGGGCATCTGTCAGCTTCATGACTTAGACCCTGGCTTTAGGAAACTTGAGAATATTCTAGAAGTAGGGATTAGATAGAAGTGGGTATAGTATTGTTCTGGATATACCAAATAAGATACTGTATTTGTTTGGTAGGCAGTAAGGACAAATTGAAGACTTTTCATAGTAAATTGGAAAGAAGAAAGAGGAGAAAAACTAGTTGTTGTTAAGTGCTGCCAAGTCAGTTCTGATTTACAGCGACTCTGTACAGGGTTTCCAAGTAGTGGCTGGTGAGCTTGAACCACAGACTTTGTAGTTCAAGCTGACCTTGCAGTCCAATGCATTAACCCACAGCGCCACACCAGTACTCTAGTTAGGAGGCAGAATATGTCATATTAAAGGTTGACGTGCTACATTAAATTTATAAATTATTTCTTTGTTTGACTAATCAAAGTGTGTGTTTACTTTTTTTTTAATTGAAAAGCAGCAGCAGGTTCTTCAGTATACTTAGAACATTGGGATCAAGAGTCTCATGGTGGTTCTTCAGTGTGAGATACTTTCATTAGGATATAATTATGATAAACTTGCTATAGCATTCCTCTCTAAATAAAGTATCAAGTGTTTAATCAGGATATTCAAAACCTTTAAAATCCTGACCTTATCTGTATTCAAGACTCATTTCCAATGACTTCCTACCATACCCACATTTCATCCATGTCAAACACACTATCATACTGTCCCTTTGCCTGAAGCATCTTTATTTCCCCTTATTTGTCACTTTAAGTAGGAATCAGATATCTCATTTATCTGATTTTGTAGCCATCTCTTTTATCTTTTTGTAGCCATCCCTAGCTAACCTCACTGTATTATAGTGAAATGTGCAAAGACCTGGACTTGAAATTAAAAGGGAAGAACTCACTCAATATTTCTCAAGCTAAAACAACTGAAGAAAAAAATTAAATCTGGGGTTGCCGTAAAGAAGGTCTCTATGGGCCGAATATTATACCAAAAAGAATGGATCGATGTTTAACCACTTCAAGATCAAGAACCAATGGAATTGGAGGAAAAAGTCCAAACTGCACTGAAGGCATTTTGGGGGTGGGGATGGGCAGAAAAACTCCAGGAATTGATGGACTACAAATTGAAATATTACAACAAACTGAAGCAGCAAAGGAAACACTCACTAATCTATGCCAAGAAATTTGGAAGACAACTACCTGACCAACTGATTGGAAGACATCATGTTTGTATCCATTCCTAAAAGAGTTGACCCAATGGAATGTGGACATCATCAAACATTATTATTACTATCACATGCAAGTAAAATTTTGCTGAAGATAATTTATAAACATTTGTAACAGTACATTGACAGGAAACTGCAAGAAATTCAAACCAGATTCAGAAGAGGACGTGGAGCTAGGGACATCCTTACTGATATTAGATGTACCTTCGCTAAAACAGAATACCAGAAAAAATACTTACATATGCTTTATTGACTATGCTAAGGCGTTCAACTCTGCAGATCTGGAAAAGCTGTGGAAAACAACTTCAAAGAATGGATATTCCAGAACAATTAATTATGCTCATGAAGAACCTGTTCATAGACCAAAAAGCAGTCATTCAGATAAAACAAGGGATACTGAGGGGTTGAAAATCAGGAAAGGTGGTATCAGGGTTGTATCTTTCCCCCATACTTATTAAATCTATATGCTGAGCAGATAACCCCAGAACTGAGCTATATGAAGAGGAACATAGCATCAGAATTGGAAGAAGGCTCACTAACAGCCTGTAATATGCAGATCTTACACCCTTGCTGGAAGCAAAGAGGACATAAAATACTTACTGATGAAGATCAAAGGCCACAGCCTTCAGTTTGGGTTGTACCTCAATGTTTAAGAAAACAAAAATCCTCACCATTGGACCAATAAATAACATCATGATAAGGAGCGAGAAGATTGATGTCAAAGACATCATTTTGCTTGGATCCACCATTAACACCCATGGAACCAGTAGTTAAGAAATCAAATGATGTATTGTGTTAGGCAAATCTGTTGGAAAAGACCTCTTTAAAGTGTTCAAGAGCA